AATTTGTTTTGAGGCTTCTCTAGAAGCTGACAAAATTTTATTCAAATAAAACATTACAAAACTGACAAGTTTTTGTTACAAGGCCTTTATTTCCAGAAATGGTGTCTTTCCAAGCAAATGATTACCTTTCCCACTGAGTAAAACAGCTTTATTAAAAATAAACAAAAAAGTACCATTTACTTAATTTCAGCCTGGTTGATAAACACCATATACCTTTCTTTCCTCATTTCTTTGTGCAGTCATTGTTACTAAACAATCAACTTCTACCATAACTAGTGTTCTAGATTGATTCTCTCAGTTAATGTATCTTAGACTTACTGACACAGTTTTACAACAACTAGATCAGTAAGGAAGGAGTTCTGGTGGCACAATGGTTAAGAACTCAGCTGCTAACCGAAAGGTCAGCGGTACAAACCCACCCAGTGGCTCTGCATGAGAAACGCCTGGTGATCTGCTCCTATAAAGATTACAGCCTAGGAAACCCTATGGGGTGGTTCTACCCTGTCGTATGGGGTTGCTATGAGTCAGAATTGACTTGACAGCACTCAACAACAGGTGAGTGAGGAAAAAGAAAATTTACTCAATCCACAAATAACAGTTCTGTTTTCACCCATGTTTCTGTGGAAAAAATCAGTACAAGCCTGTGAGAAATTAACCACCAGCCTTTGGATTTTTATAGTGGCCTCAGGTGCTGTGGGTGAGGTTTGGAGTCAGAGTGACCATGGTAGAGGTGAAGGGGAGTTCCTAACTGGGCAGCCTGAGGCCCAGACTCTGGGCACACTCACCAAATTCACAAGACAGCGTTCCCTCGTCAGCCTCCCAGCAAAGCAAACCGGCTCAACTGACCCCTTTCTGCTTTGCTGTTTTCCTCTTTTCCTGTATATATGCTCCCCCCGAACCCCCTGGACACACACACTCACAATTCAACACTTCCAATGTCGTGCCCTTATATATCTGAGCTCAGGGTGGTGGGGAGCCTGTGCATTCACAGAAGGGCATCCTTTGTTCCTGTCTACACCATCACAGCACCATGATAATGCAGCAACCTCATCTCCCGGCTGATCAAGTCTTTGATATAGGATCCTGTCAAAAGTTTCTGACAGGATAAGTGGAAAGATACACAGACACCCCCCACCTCCAATTCAAATGCCTATTTACTTCCTCAAACAGTTTTCTCTTATAGAAATAAGCTACTTTTTTGGGTGTTCAGTGACCCTGGTATGTGAGAAAAAGAAATGAGACTTACCCCAAGGAAAACCTTGTTTCTTTCTCCATTTCTAAAACAGCATTCAAGATCCTATACCTTCCTTCCCTACTCCTCAACGCATGCCCTTCACTTGAGTCGCACTAGTCTCTCCCACACACTCTGAAGCAGTCATTTCATTTCCGCCTTTGGTCTCTAACGTGTCCTATCGACCTAGCCTGCGCCTCAGCTAGCCACTCTGCAGAGTTGAGCACCTCTTCATAAAACCTTCCCTGCCCACTCAGCCCCCACAGACCTGCCCTCCCCTCAACCAAGACTGGCCTGGCGTAGACAGCTCTCATGGATCCCCTCATAGGCGTCTGTGTCTCCTGCTGAGTCAAGTGCACAGGTCTGGCTCCTCCAATAAGACTACTGACAAATGTTAAGTCCTCCACAGTCATTACCACTCTGAGGCAAAATGTAAACAACCCATAGATGAAAACAGGGCTTCTTGGGCTAGTGTCTCTTAGCCTAAGAAGTGAGGTCCTTTATCCTCAACGAAGACTTGGCTGGGTAGGGGGGAGTAACTGTGCCCTTACACTGGGGTTTTATTACACATGTATCCTGTTCAAATCAGCTTTATCATTTGAATTTCAACCACACAGACATCACAAAGGCGAACGCTGAGCCCACGACGCACTGTCACAGTCGAATGGGTTCTTAAGTGTCAACAAGCTTCTTCCAGTAGCTGAGCAGGTCTACCTGTTGACACCTCCTTCTCCTTCCAGGACCCACGACTGGCATCCCCAGGAGCTCCGCCATATGAGCCTGGTTCAACCCCGTGAAACAATCTTAAGAAGCTTAATTCCTCTTCCACAGAGCTGCCGTTCAATTGATGACAAATATCATCCCCACAGGCTTGTCTTCTTTGATCTAAATGTCCCTGGTCCTTTCCATTTTCCCTCCTCTGGTGGTCTGGCTCATAGGCCATTCCCCCATCCATTTACTCCCAAATGACACAGAGTTTGTCAAGCTCTTCAAACCATGAGCTCCTTTCAAATGGGATTGCATCTACTGGCAAAAATGCAGCCTAGCTCTATTAGAGACCCTAAATATTCAGGCAAAAGTAGACAGAAGAAGAGCGTCCTGGAACAGGAAAAGTTCATTCAGTTGTGGGACAAAGCAAAGGTAGACAACAGGAAGTAGCGCCCACACTTGGAGAAAGGCTACAAAGAAAAAGAGAACTGGGAGATAGAACAACTCTCCAGGAGGAACCAGGAGGCCCACTTTTGGTGCACTGTAACAGCCAACAAGCCTTGAGCTTTGTCACTAACTGAACTCCTGGGGGATTTTCTACATAATGGAAAATAGAGCTTACTCTGTCCAGTTTTGCTTTACTACCTATACAACTGGAACATAGCCTGTTTTGTAAACACAGCAATAGCTACATCAAAAAACCGGTTGCTGTCGACCCCACAGGACCACGTAGAACTGCCCTATCCAGTTTACAAGCAGCAGTTGGTGGATTTGAACTGCCGACCTTTTGGTTAGCAGCCATAGCTCTAAACCACTTTGCCACCAGGGCTCCATAGCTTTATACTGATAGCTATACATCAAGATTCCAAAGAACATCAGACATAGGCACATTCAAACATTAAAGAAAAATACACACCAAAAATAAATTCTGTATGAGATGTTTTGTGATGCTTCAACTAATCATTACCTCCCCTCAGAGGTAACGGAACAGCTTATAATATTATTGTTCTATTTGCCTCAGCTATCCTAGAATTATAAGTAATTAGTATGTGTTACTTCTGTAGACAGCTGAAAGGAGAGAATGTTCTTAGGCAGTTTGTGATGGGGCGGACTTCATTAAGAGGGAAAGCTCTTGAAGTTACAACTCACCAGGAGAAATCTGTTAGTGTAAGATTCAGGGGGACAAAACTAAGTTTTTTCTCTGAGAACAAGCAACCTAAGCCACTAACCCTTGAGAAAAAGGCTTAAAAAGCGAGGTCAAGGGCAACAGAAGCATAAATCCAAGCAGAATATGATGGAATTACCTTTGTTCTTTGTAGATGTGTTTTCTTTTCAAGTCAACAAATACTCAGTGAGTCTCTTCTACATGCCTCATGCTGGGGGCGATCTGCCAGATCATGCATTTACTAAATGGAAAAATTGACAAGGCTCTAGGCTTTGACCATGTTCTCCCTCTTCCCATACTGGTTTGTTCCAAATGTTCTAGAAGACTAGTAAATCAATAGATTGTTTTCAGTTGGTGGCAGAGGTGGCCTTGGACTTTTCCTCAGATTTCTTTCTCTCAAACTTAATAATCAAATCCTTACTGCCACCTGGTGGCAGCATCAGGTTCTGCTGGCAGGGATAGCCGTGTCTCCCAACAATGGTTCAATAAGAAATCCATGTGTGCCGGCTCGTTTTTGTCTGTTTTTTAACAACTGTGATTGAGAGTCTACACTATTGTATGAGTACTGGGTATGCCCCAAACATTAGCCAAGTGTCCCAAGTAGCTCTGTTCACACCCACTTTTCTTTTGCCAGATGCAATTCATCATGAAAGTAAGCTCAAATACGTCAAAATTCTAAAATTAGTACCATTCATCATTGATAACAGCCACAATCTGGCTGATTTTCCTAACTGGGTTTGTCTTTGGCTAATGTTAAATTAAATGCAGTTCATACTTCCTGGCTAGAAGGAGGATTAAAAATTGGCTATGGATTAAGAATCCACAATGTAGGTAATCCATGTATATGCATATATGGACATATGGTTATTCAAAATAAATCAGCTCTTGTTCATGAAAAGCATAGTTCAGCAGCCCACTGACACACTTATATGGTGTGTCAGAAACGTTCAGTTCAACCAACACTTGAGTACCTACCATGGACCAGACGTAAGGCAAGGAGCTGGGCTTACAAAGACAAACAAAAGGCACAGGTTCTATTTCCAAGGAGTATATGTAACAGAGTAGGGGAAATCTCCGGATTTCACAACTCCTCTTTCAACAGGCATGTTTACTTATTTCTTATGTCTGTTAGCTGTAATCCTGGGCCCCACTCTCCCACACTCCTGGACATCTAACTTTCAAAACTCATTAATACCCTTAGCATTTCAAGTCCTGTTCACACTAGAAAAGGACTCCTTCTCAATGCTAACATTTTGATCTTAAGGGCTCCAGACAAGTTCTGAAGTCGTTCACAGGTGTCCAGGCTACCAACACGTAAATACAGGCTCACACACAATGGCCCTGACCTGTGTCCAAGAGACCCCGGGATGGCTGTATAAGAGTCCTAAACAAGCAGTGGCACTAAACCCCACTCATACATTCTCATTCATTGATTTTCTTTCCTTTTCTTCTTATGAAATACATCATGCATAAAAATGTTTGTAACATACACCTACAGTTTAAAAAAGAAGAAAATGAACATTATGCCCCTACCACACAGCTTAAGAAATAGAACGATACAGGATCTTGAAGCCCCACATACCCCTGCCCAGCTGCACCCTCGCCCCCACCTGGTAAGCACCATCTCTCTATTAAGATCCATCCCAAAACTCGTTTTCCTTGGCTTGATAGCTGTGAAGTGCATGTGGACTGAGGAATCACAACATTCTCTGCTCTCCACGCCAGATCACTCTGCTGAGCAGGAATCAGAAAGGAGGTGGAGACTACCAAGAGCAAGGACCGCATCACATTCATCTCTGCCCCAGCACCTAGCCCAGTGCCTGCTTAGTGAATACCTGCTTCATCTATACCAAGACTCCCAGAACAAAGCAAAAAGACACCCGTTCCCTTCCTTACCTCTGTCTCTACCTGCTGCTGAGTTCGGTTGTGGTTCTCTTTGTACTGGTTGGCTCTCAGAACTTGCTGCTCGATGCCTAGCAGAACTGCCTCACAGCCATCACACCTACAAAGGAGAAAGCAGCTCTGAGCCACAGGAAGGCCTGCCAGCGCTCTCCTAGCCTCAGGACTCCCCTCCCCAGCACCCTCCTGGACTTGCGTTCCCACTCCCCCACCAGGGCTCTTGCCCCTCCATGCCTTCCAAAGGACAGGAATTTGTCAACACGTAACACAGGGTGCATGGGCAGAGGTATCATGGACCTGGGTGGTTTCTTAGCTTAATTTGCAACCTTAGCATCCCATGGGAATTGATTTTCACAGAATGTGAGAGTCAAGGAACCGGAGGGTTCATAGGTGGCACTGATTAATCACTTCTGTCGTCGGAAAAGTCACTTTCTAAAAAGCATCCTGACTCAGAGGCTGCCGCTTTTCTCAGGAGTATGAGTTAGTTCCTAGCTGCCATCCACCACCCCATTCTTTTATTATCCTTGCTTTTTATTTTGAAAAATTTAAAACATTAAAAAAATTTAAAGCATAGTACAACACCCACACATGCTCCCCACTTAAGATTCAACAGTTGTGAACACTTTGCTTTATCTGCAGTACCTCTCTGTGTACCAATTCTGTTTCAAATGTCACCCCAACCCCTAATCACGGGGTTTAAGAATCTCTACTAGTAAATACACTGAGATGGGTGTTATGATGGCACCTCCAGGTGGCAACATGCTGGGGGCTGAAAAAAAGGAAACCAGATGATGGACATGCAGAACTCCGTCAGCCACCTCAAAAACGGAACAGCACAGCAAATTTAGTGGGATTAGAACCTAGATTTTTGTTACCAGACCACTTACGTGTTCGGGGATTTTCTGAGTTTATTCCCTTTTTATTCGGATTTAATAGCTTTACAATATTTGGGAAGCTCCTGCTATACAAGGATGGCGTTCGGGATCACCCTTAGACGGAACATGGGCGGGGAAGGGGGCAGACAGCACATGCCCAGGGCTCCATAGTAGCTGAAGTGAAGGACCTCAGGGCATCAAAGCCGGCTGGGCCTTCTGGGGAAAAGCCCAGAGATCCCGTTTGTTTTAAAGGAAACAGTTCCCAGACCCCTCTGCACAAGTCTGCCTGCTCTGCCTCATGACCTCCAGCGTGCTGTAAGCCTGCCCGGGAACAAACTCTCCTCAACTCCAATCATATCCTAACCCAGCCTGCCCTCAAAACGCAGCCCAAACTTTCTTCCCAACTAAGCCCAACTGGCTTCATAAACCCAAAATCATTTGAATAACTCCACAACAAATCCTTGCAGAGCATGTAACAACTCCTACAAACATCAAATTCTATTAGGAAAAAGTATAAGCAAACGTCCCAATTGTTTTCATCTACCTGAATATAGTCTCAAATATTCCGTGTGAGTTCAGAGTAGTTCCTCCAAATCAGACTAAGCCCTTCCCTCATAATGTTTTACAACCACCACCCCAGTGTGTTACTGACTCTAAACATGGGTTTCCTTATCCAAAGACTCTCACAAACACCGACCTCCTGAGCAGGAAAGCACAGGATGGGGTCACAGAGTCAGGCTCCAGGGGCTCCAGCTGCTAATCCTGAGCACTTTACAGCCCACAACTAAATCGCCCCAGCTGCAGAGAGGACAAGAACTATTTTAGGACCAAGCACTAGGAGGCCTGAAACGAGCCCTGCTGCCCCACAGCTGCAGTCCCAAACGCAGCCCCACTCTCTGGCTTCCTGTCCGAAGGCCCCCAGCTCCCAAGCCCACAGCAAAGGCAGGTGACACCTGGAGAACACAATGTCCAGAGCAGAGGCCCAGGAGATAGGCTAGTCTCCTCCCTGAGGAGAGGCCCCCTTCTTCCAGTCTCACCATTCGTGCAAGGTCTTGACGATGTTGTTGATATCCTTCTTGCGGATATCACGGCCGATGCAGAAATCCACTTCCAGCAGCTGGTTTCGCTGGTCCAGCTTGCCCTGGATGATGTCAGTGTAGACAGCCTCGATGATGAGGTCTTCTAGTTCCCGGAGATTCCGCATCTCCAGGTCCTTCAGCAGCACGGAGTAGGGGATACACTGTAGATAAGGCCATGTGATAGTCATAAAAACCATCCGGCAAGCACGAAAGAACATGCAGGTCTTCCCCACACAAGCAACAGCTGCCTCGGGGCTTGGGGAAATGCAGTCCAGTGGCAATTATTTGTATCTATGGCAGCAAAGATGGATAAATGAGTTGTGAGAGCTGCGAGATGGAAACAAAGCCCCGCAGCATCTAAGAATGTGTTCCAGACACTCTGCCTCCTGGACTTTGCCCAGCCGACAGCTTTCACACCCTGGAGTACACTCAGAATCCAAAAGACTCCTCCCATGAGAGAAAAAGGGAAATGCCACTCTGCCACCTTCTGAAAGCTTGCCGAGTCTGCATCAGATGCCAGATCATTACCAGCCTCCAATCCCAGACAGTGGAGAGAGCTGGCTGCTTGCTCAGCAGAGGGCAAACAAAAAAAACACGCCAGCCAGCGCATCCACCTACAGGTGGCTAGTGGGGACCGCCAGCTCCAAGGTCAGCCTGAAGTTTTCATTTGTTTTCTCAGACCCTTGCAGCCACTGTCAATTGGGGACTATATTGCGCTGTACCAACATTCCGTGTGACTTCATGACAACAGGGTATGTAAATACCCAGTGTTCTGCAAGTCCTCGGACCCATTACTACTAGTTTGGAAATTAACACAGCGATCAAATCTACAGAAACAGACAGGAGGAACGCATGTGCAGAGAAGAGGGGAAGAGCAAGCATCCTGGGAGGGCTTTCTATGGCTAAAGGCTTAAAATCCAGGGGCGGTGGGTGGGCTTACAATGACACGCCGCAGAAATGGGAAGAAAAAAGTCACTCCTACTCTTTGCTACACTTGAGAAGTGCGTGGATCAGAACAAGAAAAAAGATCAAGTCCTCAATTCCTAACAAAATAGGTCTCTTGCCAGAAATGCCAGGCTGAGAACCAAAAATCTGTGATGAGAGCAGGTAAAATGTTTGCAGCAAATGAAATGGCAGCCCAAGAACAAATATCCATCTCTGAAGTTCTATCACAGAGCAGAAACACAAAAGCACACTTTTTCAAAGGCATAACCCCAAAAAACTTAGAAACTTAGGCTGGGGTGGGGCAGAGAACCAAACTCAACTACAGACAAACTCAATCTGGATCTTCTTTGTTAGGACCGTGAGCAACTGGCTGCACCAAGGCTTCTTCTCAATGGACTGGGGCCGAGAACTCGTACAGTGGAATGGTATCTTATTAAGGGTCTAAAGTTAACACGTAGGACAAAAATCACAATTGGAGTAGTTACTCTTGAAAACCCCAGAGGAAGGCAGCATATTAAAAGGCTACTTCTCAGCCCAGAAAAAAGCTCTGAGCCACGGGACCAGCATCCCCGCTTGACACAGCCCTCCTCTCGGGCACCCCAGCACTGAATGGGAAGGGAGCGTGTGTGAGAGAGAAAGAGAGTCAGAGAGAAACAGAAAGGGGGAGAGAGAGAGAGATGGCAAAATTGTAGAGTTAAATTGTGTACCAGGCTTGCTGGGGGCTGTGGGCTTTCTCGCTTCCTGTTTTCCTATTCCCCTGGCCTGTCAGCTGCGGCCCCTAAGCACAGCTTAGGACGGTGGTGGCAATCCAGTCTGGCACACTTAGCTTACAGCAAAAGGCCTTTGTCAAGAGATGCACCACACTACTCTCATGTCATGAAAGCGACTCTCAGGAAGTCCAGCATAGCAAGTTTTCCCATCAGCACTGGCACATTCACTGAGCAACAGAGCAAGTGGTAACTTGCCTCGAGATGCCATGCCGTTTGAAACATACATACCTTTAGGCACTGGTCTCCCTCTGGCATGACAAAATGCTCCCACCACACAAGGCGCCAGGGCATGCCAGGACTGAGACCACCTGAGTCACAATCACTGCTGGGTGGACTTTTCCTGAATGAACAGTGAGTAACTGCCCGCACTATTTTAATCGTTATCTTTCTTTCTTCCTTTGCCAAGCAAACTCTATGCATTTATGATGTGACTCTACTGCATGTAGCTGGGAGCTCCCTCACTGATACCACTGAGACTGCCTAGCTCGGGGTGAGGAGGAAGACAGGACAGGGTGTGGGACTGTACCTTCATCCTCGAGGCCAAGCTCACGATGGTGAGATGCTTCAGCTTGTTCTGCTGAGCTGTGCTCAGTTCTGGCAGGCTCTCCTTGTTGGCTGCTCAGTCCCACCCACCACAGAAATCAAGATACAAAAGGAAATTAGTACTTTTTTTGTGGAATGAACTCACAGACTCCCCAAACCAAATCCGCCTCTGAATCACTGTAATGACTGCATTTATTATTCCCAGGGCAGATATTCAGTGAGCACCTCCTGTCTTCTTTGGAAGAGAATGAGCTTCAAAGAAGACTCAGTCTCTACACACTGGGCACTCAGTCTCACCAGGCATGTGAACAGACAAAATGATGTGACAATTATCTTGATGGAGTCCTACTTGTGCCCCTCAGGACATTCAATTAAGTTCAACCCGCCTTTGTTGAGCCTCTGTCATGTGCAATGCCCTGTCTTAAGTGGTTCGGGGAAATCACGGACGAGTCAATAGTCCTTGCAGGGCTGCTGTGCTGCGCAAGTCCAGTGTACCAGCCGGCCGGAGGTGTGCAGCTTACTGGCCTTGACTTAGCCCCCGTTTTACATCAGGTATCTCAATAGCTACAAATGAAAGGCAGAACTACCAGGAGAAAGGTGTAAACTACTAGGAGAGAGTGAGCGACAGCAACCTCATTGGAAAGGTGCAGGAGGGGAAAAGAAAAGGCTTCATGGAGGAGATGGAGTCTGAGATGAGCCTTGAAGAATGGGTAAAATTTAACAATAACAGCAGCTGCAGGTAATAACAACATACATGGCAGCAGCTGCAGGTAACATATATGGCAAGCTCTACTTAGTGCAGGCATACACAGATACACACAGACACACACACACACAGCCAGTTAATCCTCACAACACCATGAAATAGATACTAAATGTCCTCCATCCTTATCCAGAATTCTGACATCCAAAAAGCTGAATCCAAACTGCTTTTTTTTTAAAGCATGGTACTAAAATTCATTTGGTGGCAATTCCTGACCTGAACTGAGGCAGGGTTTTTATCCCATTTGGTGGGAATATTCAGTTGTTTTGCTGCAAAATTATGAATATGTTTGACTCCAGGTGCTGCCACATCTCTGTAGGGGTGCTGCACAAAAAGGCATCACACTACGTTTATTTAAAGACCCCAAATTCTAAATTCTGAAACAGCTTGCCTCAAAAGGTGCAGGTAAGGGACTGAAGACCTGTATGACCACCATTTCACAGGTAAGGAAATGAAGGCACAGAAGCTCTGTGCCAAAGGACACAGAACTGTGGAAGTGGAGCCAGGCTATAACTGCAGGCAGCCTGGTTCAGAGTCTACGCCATGCTGCCTCTGTGAGAAGTGAGGACAGAGACAGAGGACACTCACTGGAACAGATCAAAGGTGAGAAAAGATGGGGTGCGCCAGAAAGCGGCCAACTGTGCAGTCTGACAGCAGCAGCGGGTGAGCAGACGTGACCAGTGAAGACGAAGGGGGAGTCAGGGCAGAGTAGGGAAGGCCCTGAGTGTCAGCCATTGTCGCACCACTAAAATCAACTAGGGAAGCCAGGAACAAACGGTTTGGGAGAAAGTAAGTTACAGTTAGTACATGCAAGCACCTCATTCCTGATGCTTACGATTTGAATTTAAAACGACTCAGATGCCCTACTATGAGAATGGGCTAAATAGATTACGAAATGTTAAAAATGACTACAAAGACTTAAAATATGGATAAATGCTTTTGAAATTAAGTGAAGAGAGCAAGATGTAAAAGTGCATATGGAATTACAACGGCACCTATGTGACAGAAAGCACAAGACTGAGGAGAGAAAAGACCAGCACCATAATGCGGACAGCAGCTTAAGGGTGGTCCAACTATGAGTGACTTTCTTCTTCAATGGGTGGTATTATTTTGATAATATTTAAAATGTTAAAATATTTCACAACTGGGTATTCTGATATTTCACAACAGTCTGAGTGTTCGATAAACACCAGTCCTCAAGAATCTCACCTGGAAAATAAACAAGAGATATTTGTGGATGTGGCAGTCTGCTTCCGACAACTTGGAGTTATGCAGACTTCCAAGTTACACAGACTTGGAAACCCTATGGGGCAGTTCTAACCCTGTCCTATAAGGTCGCCATGAGTCGGAATCAACTCAACAGCAACCAGTTTTATGTGGATGAGCGTACACATAGCCCCCATTTTACCCCCGTGGAAGTAAAAGCTGAGAAGAGAAATTCACTATGTGAGGTCACCTACAGAGCCCAGCAAAGCGGCAAGCAGCCAGGCCAAGAAGTTCCTGCCCCATGCTTTATATCCCAAACCTCAGTGATCCCATGGAGGCAACACATTCAAACACACCAACATACTCAATTCTTTTGAAGGATCTTAACCAACTCACCTATGTAATCTCGGTATGTTCCATAGGCGAACAGGTTCAGCAGCTGCAAATAAGCAGCATTAGCTCCTTCTGCAAGCTAAGGAGGAAAAAAAAGTTCACCGCACACCAAACTATCAATCACTGTAAGTGTTCAAATAGAGGAGCAACTACGTGCCAAAGATGCCATGGCTGTACTTCCGACTGTGTGATTAGCTGGCCCAAGGTCCCTTCCAACCCTGACTGCAGAAAAAATAAGATTATTAAGGCCCCAAAGTTTGTTTTTCTTCCTCAGGAAGACACATTTCACACTCTACATAGGATGCTCAAGTAACTGCTTTTATCACACACACGCATACAGCATTAAGCACTGGAAGCAGTTCAGGTCTTCTCAGGATTCCCTTGCCACTCAACTAAATGCTGGAGCAGCTGGGCCACACACCAGCTTGGCAGGTACAGAACCAAGCACTATCAAGCGAAACAGAGAAAGCTTAGGGTTGGTTCCAAGTTTCAAGACACGCGGACTAAGGAACCTGGGACAGATTAGCACAGCATAAGGTGCCACAGAAAAGCCAGGCTGGGACAAGAAACCAGGGTTACCATGCCTTCCCAAATAAAAAGTTTTGTTACAATTACTTACTCCTCACTGATGCTGATGGCAAAGACCCATCTGCAGAAGAGAAACAAAAGAGCCACCCCTCTGCGAGGAACTGCTCCTGACTGGGCGCTCCGTTTACTCACAAACACGCCCCATCACTCCTCCAGTTTACCACGCTCAGTAACGTCTAGACAGGAATGCCCAAGTGGTGCTCTGTAGACACCAACAGCAATACCACTCAATTTCAGCCACCTTTTAAAAAGGAGCTCCAAGAACTGCATCCATAATTTCTGACCACTGAAAGACAACTAGTTCACATATGAAAAAAATAAATTATGGGTAGAGAAAAGGTGATTTGCTAAGCACATTAAGTGGGACATCCTAATACCCTAGTCTACCTTCTCAGGTTACCAAGAACCTCCTGAGGTCCCTGAATCAGAGCTGGAAGAGATCTCATACAGACCGTCAAGGCCCCAGCTTTCAGACAGATGATTATAAAACTAGCCAGAACAGTCTATTTTCTTCTAGAGCGGAACTCCAAAACTTCTCTGGCCTATAACGTCTTTATGGTTTGAATTTTCATCCATCTCCTCTTAGTCAATCTTCCACGATACAAAACATCCTCTTGGCATATTTACTCAGGCTTTTCATGAACCTGAAGGAAACAAATCACCTCTTGGCCATCTCTTCTGTTGAAAAAGGAACCCAATTCTCTTAGGTCTTCCTCATAGGATTCATTTTCCATCTCTGGTAAATTAAATTTTTTTACTGAAAGCCTACCGTGTGTCAGGCAATACATAAACCTCTGAGGGAACAATGGTGAACACAACAAACCTTACCCTCACAGACCTTACAGTCTAACAGGTAAGATGAACATTAAATAAAAATCTACAATTGAAAAATAAAAGTGTCCAAAGGATTAATGGACCACAAGTACCACAGCCTCCACCAGACTGAGTCCAGCACAACTAGATGGTGCCCCAGCTACCACTGATTGCTCTGATAGGGATCACAATAGAGGGTCCCAGACAGAGCTGGAGAAAAATGTAGAACAAAATTCTAACTCACATACACAAAAAAAACAGACTTACTGGTCTGACAGAGACTGGAGTAACCCTGCAAGTATGGCCCCCGGACAGCCTTTTAGCTCAGTAATGAAGTCACTCCTGAGGTCCACCCTTCAGCCAAAAATTAGACATGCTCATAAAACAAAGTGAGACTAAATGGGCATACCAGCCCAGGGGCAAGGATGAGAGGGCACAGGGGCCAGGAAAGCTGGCAATGGGGAACCCAAGGTTGAGAAGGGGAGAGTGTTGCCATGTCATAGAGTTGGCAACCAATGTCACACAACAACATGTGTATTAATTGTTTAATGAAAAACCAGTTTGCTCTGTAAACCTTCATCTGAAGTACAATTAAAAAAGTGTCCAAAGTGGGAAGCATAGGTTGAAAAGTCAGTGCTTTCCATCTCTGCTCCATCTGGTCATTCTTCAACAGACCTTCTCATTTTTAAGGCACGATAACAAAAACTGGACACCCCAGGTCTTAACAACAACAAACCAAACAAGCAAACAAAGCAAAAAGGACTACTTCCCAGCTTTTCGTGTCACACAGAAGAACTGATGCCTCTGAATACACCATGGACTGCCAGAAGAATGAACAAATCTGCCTTGGAAGAAGTACAGCCAGAATGCTCCTCAGAAGCGAGACGGTTAAGACCTCATCTCATGTACTTTGGACATGTTATCAGCAAGGACCTGTACATGTTATCAGGAGGGACCAGTCCCTGGAGAAGGACATCATGCTTGGTAAAGTAGAGGGTCAGCAAAAAAGAGGAAGACCCTCAATGAGATGGAT